AGAGAGAGAGAAAGAGAGAAAGAAAGAAAGAAAGAAAGAAAGAAAGAAAGAAAGAAAGAAAGAAAACAAACACATGCCGAGCAAGCTGCTCCCACCAGGTCACATGGCCGGCAAGCCACTCCCACAAAGGAGGCCACACCCACAGAGTAGGTTTGAAAAATTTTTGAAACCCACCACTGGATCCTACCCTCATAGTCTTCTGATAGGCCTTAAAGAACAGTCCCTTCTTGTAAGCTTTTGGAAAAAAAATGAGACTTAAACTCAGCAAGCTAAAACATTGAAGGGTTGGAGACTGGTTTTCCCTACTCCACCAAGTTTTTATTTGTAGGTTTTTGGGGGTTTTATGTTTTTATTGTTTTGTGAACTGCTCAGGGCCATGATTCAGAATATGAATAATGTTGCTTGCTTTATTTATTTTATTTTCATCCCGCCTTTATTACTTTTGTAAGCAATACACACGTGCATAATATTCTCCTTCATCCTCCTCCTCTTCCCACCCCTCACCCTGTGAGCTGCGCTGCCGTAAAAGAGGATAACTGGCCCAAAGTCACCCAAGCAGCTTTCATACCTAAAGCGGGACTAGAACAGTCTCCTGGTTTCTAGGCCTTCCTCCTAATCATTACCACAAACTGGTGTAAAGAAAACTATATAAGTTTTTTTAAACAAACAAACAAGAAAGCCCTTCATATTTTCCATATTGTCCTAGTACCATGAGGGCAAACCTACGGCATGCAAAGCCATGTCTCCCGGCATGTGCAGGCTTGCCTGTTTTTCTTCCCAGTTTTTGGTGTGCATGTGCATGCGCTGATCAGCTGTCCTTCACGCATGCAGCAGTGCTGAAAACCGGTGTGTTCATGCATGCCGGCCAGCTGATTGTTAGGCACGCATGCACGCTAGAACCCGGAAGATCAGCTTTTTGGAGTGCGGCCCTGCTGAGCGCGTGCATTCAACATTTCCGCGCAACCTATTCAGCACTCAGTGCTGAAAAGGTTCACCATCACTGTCCTAGTTTGTGCAAGTCTTATTAAACTCCAGTTTGAAGACATTAAAGATCTGCTGATTGGCTGCTAAGATGCATTGCGTTCTACAGCTTGCCATTTTTGATTCCAGGAGCTTTTTAAAATTAAAAAATTAACAGATATCTAACAGATTTTGTGGATGGGGCGGGAGGGGGGGAGTTACCACCTCTGAAAATCTATAAGGTGTTCAAGAGAACTTTTTCAGGTAGTGGGCTTATCACCGTAGTGACAGACTTCTTTTCTTCTCTGGTGCTCCCTGATAAGGCCAGGTGACACTTAGCATCATTTTTTCACCTGCTCAGACCAAGAAACATTAGAATCTTGTCTCTCTTTAAGGAGTTTTGCAGCAATTCATAAAACTTTAAGCAAAGCTAGGAGTGAGCTTATTGTTGTTAGCTGCGAAGTTGTGTCCAACCCATCGTGATCCCATGGACAGCGTTCCTCCTCGCCCTCCTGTCCTCTACCATCCTCTTGAGTCTATTTAAGCTCATGCCTACTGCTTTGGTGACTCCATCCAGCCACCTCCTTCTCTGTCGTCCCATTCTTCTTTTGCCCTCAATTGTTCCCAGCATTAGGATCTTGTCCAGTTAGTCTACATTTTTTATTTTTAAAAAAACACCCTGTTATTCTTCAGCTCTGCTCTTTCTGTGTGCATGTGGAGAAAGAGAAGGAGGGAAAGTAGAAAAAAATAGATAAAAAATCTCATTTGTATCTAATATTCATCCTGCCATGGGTTTCTCTAAGGAAAATACAGTCTGCAAATGTTCTTCCAGAAGAAATTGTGACAACATTCTTGGACATTAATGGAATATAGTTTTTTTAAAATTCATGCTTTTTTTTCAGGGGGAAAGAATTATATGTTTTCTCTAGTGTTTTTTTTTTTGTCTCTGAATGGCATGCCATGTGTTATTTTCCCTACTTTTAGAATAGCATATTTGTTCTGAACAAGTGTGATAATCTGTAGCTTATTCCAACTCCCTCCTAACTCCCTAAGGTAAAATTGTTACGAAATCAACTTTCCAACAAGTG